AATGTCAGGGATAGAGACGTGTAGCTGGTGTGTCTGGCCAGGGCAGGACCATATAACAAGGCAGTGTAGTCAGGTGTTGAGAGGTGTGACTGGGGGGTAGTTAGGAAGCAAGGAGAAAGGAGTATTTGTGTAGTTGGCCTGTGGCAGGGCAGGTAGATGGGAGCCTTGGACAAGGAAGGGAGAGGAGCCAAGCAACCAGCAGGAGAAGCGGAGAGCGATTGTGAGTAACCTCTCATCCCAGGGCAGGACCATATAACAAGGCAGTGTAGTCAGGTGTTGAGAGGTGTGACTGGGGGGTAGTTAGGAAGCAAGGAGAAAGGAGTATTTGTGTAGTTGGCCTGTGGCAGGGCAGGTAGATGGGAGCCTTGGACAAGGAAGGGAGAGGAGCCAAGCAACCAGCAGGAGAAGCGGAGAGCGATTGTGAGTAACCTCTCATCAGAGCTGTCACAAACCCATTTTTCCATTCCACGGTAGCAGTAGTTGTAGCACCTTTCCCTCTGGGAGCCAGGTAAGATCCTGCTGGGAGATGGCCTGCTGTGTTGAGCAATGTTGTCCTGTTTGTGCGCCTTGTCTGCCTGGATCTGTCTGCTTTCTGTTTTCATCCTAGAATTAGAGCATAATCTTTCTGGGGTTAGCACTGTCTTTTGTTCTGTATCTGTAAATCACCTGGCATCACAGGGTCCTGGCTTGGGACTGCACTGCCTAAGTTCAAATTCCTGAGCCTTTTTGGTTGAGGGGGTATAGCTGTGAACCTGGAACCCACTCCTGAGCAAGGCCCGGACAAAATTAATCCCCTACTCTGTAGGAAGGCTGGGAAGTCTCCTGCAGAGTAGTTTTTCTGTTAGCAAATCAGTGCTGTAACGTGGGATTCCTTGCTGCCCTGTTCTAAGTACAACCTGACTTTTCACCTTGTCAGCATCTCCTATACCAAACTGTGGCTGGAAAAAGGACTGGGAAGAAGGGGTGGTGCCGATCAGGGGAACTGGCTGGTCCCAGAGGCTGCTGGCTGAAGACCAGTGCCAGCTAAGTTCTTGGACTCTTCGTGTATCTGTGATACAGCGGGCTTCATCCTGTCTGTCCCAGAAAGAATAATCTTGGATAGGATGGGCCTGTTTGGAACCGCTCCCTGCTTTTTTCTGCTGCACCTAATCCAGCTTTTAAAGGTGTTTCTCCATGTTCGGTTGTATATTCTGAACAAATGATGAGGCTGAAAGAAGGGAGCTGTGGTTGCTAGATGTTTTTAGGACATGATGCAATGGATACAGCTCATCTGCTCTTCCACGGTGTGACACTGTTCTTGGATTGCCCTGCAGTATCGTGTGCGTCACTGGCGGGAGCTGGACAGAGAGATTTGGGCACATTGTGGTGGAAGTGCCTGGAGGAGGACGTGGAGTTTCTGGGCATATTTTCACCTATCAGGTAACGTAACTATTGCTTCTTTAATACCTCTCCCTGTTCTTCCAGTATCTCTGCTAAAGGGCTGTCTATCGGATGAACTTATGGGACTCTACCAGGCACTTGCTGCTGGTATTTTTAGCTGACTTTTCTGGTGTTTGTGTCGTGTGGTGGTTTTTGCAGGGTTTTTTCTCCCTGTAGTCTAGTGATTTTTTTTTTTCCCCCCAAAAAAATGATAACTATTATATGCTTAAAGAAAGAGGAAACAATACAGGGTACCTTTCTGATTTGGAGATTTTTTTACTGATGACTTAACACTTTACTAAGACTTCTGACTTCCTGTTTATTAATTTGCAATCTGAACACACTTTTAGCTTCTGACCTCCAGCAGCTAGCGGCAGTAAGTCCAAAGTTACTGTGCATTGTATGGAGAAATGTTTCCTATTATTTTTAAACACGTTTCTGACAACTTTTTGATATCTTAAACCCAGCAACTATGAAATAATATTTAAGCAGTTTTTAGATAGAGTTACTCACTTTTCGTCCTTGCTGTGCAACTTACAGGCTATGTACCTAGTTGCATGTCTCCCTCTCCCATGGGAAGGGGAAAGAGATGCCTGAAAAGTCTTAGGCTATTCCATTTTTGGCTGTGTAGAACCATTTTATATACTGGATATGCTTGTTGCTCTTCTCTTGGTTTCGGTTCTGTTATCACCATTTTGAGGCAGGGTGATGAGAGCTGCATGGTATGTTCCAGACGCGAGTGCAAACGGAATTTTTACTGTGGCATAAAAATCTTTTTGCTTAATTCCCTTCCCAGTAATTCCTACCACTTGGTGTGTTTTTGTTGAGATCTGTGCTTACAGCTAGTAGAGTTGTTATAGGTACCAAAGCACTCTTGAATGGGCAGGAGCTATTTTGAAACTCACAACTGTGTACATACGGTTGGCTTGCTTTTTTTGCTGTAGTCTCCCTGCTCCTTCTCGCTTTATGTATCTTGCTTTTCGTTTATCAGCAGTGACTTGTTTGTGCCACTCTGCCTGGTTCCTCTAAATTTTGCTGCCGCTCCTCAGTGGTACAAAGTTTTTGTTACTCCAAATAATTTATCAAATTTCATTTCCCCTTTCCAGGTCACCTACAAGTATGTTTAACAGCACAGGTCTCAACACAAATTCTTAGGGCTCCCTGCTGGTAATCTCCTCATCTACTTGACAAACAGACAATTTATTTGCTACCTTGTTTTTCCTAACCTGAGTTATTAATCCAGTTACTGATCTGAACAATCCCTTTGAACTGTTAATCCTAGGGTTTGTGTGTGAGGCCCACAGCTCTGCTGTTTGCAGCATCCATCCGCCTTTTGCAGTCTGTGGAGAGGCTGGTCCCTCTCCCTGTGGAGAGGCTGGTCCCTTCTTGCCGGTGCGATTGATCCCTCCTCTGTTGCCTCTGCTCCGTAAGGTAGCTGCTGGAGCCTAGCTGAGGCCTGCCTGTGTTTGAGATCTATAGCTTCTATTTTCAGAGCACTGAAGGTCACTGAACATGTTCTGCTGTTTTATTTCCTTGCCTTATCTTTGAGGTCACTCACCTCCTTTTTTTCTTTTTTTTTCTTCCCCCCCCCTTCTTCTAGAATCCAGAGCTGAAATCCATTGTTCCAACTCAGGGGCCTAAAGCAGGAGGAACCTGCCTTACCCTTCTGGGCTCAAAGCTGCTGACTGGGCATCCTAGTGAGATCAGTGTCCTGCTTGGAGACCTCCCTTGCCACATGTAAGATCAGAGCATGCCATCGTGCTGGCTGTGCACTGCCCTGAGTTCTTCCCAGAGCCCTGCAGGTTGTGATGCTGCCTGGCTCAGCCCTTAGGACAGAGATCTCTGCTCTCCTCTGTGTTCCAGGAGATCCTCCCCTTGAGGGTCATGGCAGCAACCATCTTACGTTCCTGCCCACGTTCCCTTGGACGTGAACAGTGCTATGTGGCCTCTGTTCTGCATGTCTCTTGGCAGGACTATACCCCATCCTGACAGCTCTGCTTTTGCTGATGGGGAACTGCAGTTGGCTCCTGCAGACTAACACTAAGAGCTGCTTGTTCCCTTGCATCCTGGGACACGTACACTTGACAGCACTGCTGGTGAGAAGGTGCATGTGCCTTGGTAGCATGTTTCCAGTCTTTTCAGTCTGGATGGTGGCTGTACCTGCTTTTTGTCCACATGCTGCTCACTGACAACTGTCCAGCAATTATTGCTTGCCTAGATAAGGCACAAGACCTTTCACTATTAAATTTAGGAAAATATCAGAAGAGGTTTGCAGACTGTCTGCAAAGAGCAAGGCATAGTACTATAAAATCTGTCTCTGCAGTGCCTGTGTTAATCCCTTGTTCTCTCTTCTGTCTCTCCAAGCCTCTCTGAGATGACGGAGGATCAGTTGGCATGCCAGACGAGCCCCAGCAATGTGTCCGCAGAACTCCCAGTCACTATCAAATATGGGGACCAAGAGCGGAGACTGGAAGGATCCCTCTTCAGATATACTCTGGATCCCAACATCACTTTTGCAGAGCCGCCTAAAAGCTTCCTCAGGTAGAAAGACAGTGCGCCTTCCCCAGGGCTGTGTGCTGAGGCAGGTGCTACAGCACCAATGGCATCTGTTGAGTTGCACTTTGGAGTAAAGCCGGGCTTGTAGGAATGAGCATGAGCAGAAGGGTGAGAGCATGAGCAAGGCAGAGCTAATGAATAATAGGTGGGTGAGATCAGCTGTTCTCTCTTTCAGTGGCGGGAGAGTGCTCAGAGTTCATGGATACAACTTGGATGTTGTACAGAAACCAAAGATCCGAGTTACAGTTTCTCCATCTGAACGCCGGCGCCGAGGACTGGGACGATGGCGCAGAATCATCCCAGACACAGAGTGCCCTGAGGATGCTCTGTGCAGCGTCCAGCAGGTAGCATGGCAAAGTGCTCAGTGGAGCTGAGGGTGCACAAGGGTTGATGTGTTGCTCTGGAGAGGTGGGCTTTCTGTCCCTAGGGATTTTCCCCCCACTTGCTGTTATCTGCTTGAGTCGTACCAACAGTCTTGGCCAAGTGGAAGTGTTCTCTGCCAGACTGAGAGGTTAAGCACTTCCACAAACATTTCCATGAGTTGGGTGTGCCTCTGCTTAGAGATGTGCAGGATTTGTGATGTGGGACAGAAATAGCAGGGCAGCAGTGTGGAGATAAAGAAATCTACAGCTGAGCCAGAGAGCTTGCGTGGCCCAGCATGTCCATGCTCCAGACTCGTCCTTTTGCATCGTTCAGTCCATCTGTATAGCCCCTGGGCTGTCTTTCACTCTGAGATAGAAAAACAGGCAGAGTTCAGTGAAATTACCAGTTCCGCCACCGTTTTCTGCTCTGCTGCTGCCAGTGTCCTCAGATGGGTCGCTGCAGAAGTATTGATGTGATCATGGAGGTCACAGAGCACGCAGCAGCATTTGCAGAGGTAGAGGGTGTTTGGCAGCCAAAGTACAAGAAGGATTTGCATTATTAGTGCAAATGATAGAGGGCTTCCTGTACATGAACTGGGAGAACATGCTCCTGATGCACGTGCATCAATAATAGCTGGTTTTACCCATGTTCTTAGGAAGGCATTTGTGGCTGTAGAGGAGGAAAAAAAAAAAATTTTACTCTAATACTTTCACCAAATGTATAAAACATATCCAACCGGACGAAGGAACACTTCTTTCATAGAAGCATTCAGGCTAGGAAATCAGCCTTTCATTGAAGGTCTTTGGTCCCATTCTGTCAGAGCAGGGAGATCTAAAGCTGATGCCTCTCCAGAATTTGCTGCCAGGGGAATGTCAGAGCTGATTCCCACTGCTGAGACCTAGGGACTTGCAGCACAATCAGTGCTATGAAAACTTTCTTTAGAGGAACGTGGGGAATTCCTCAGATCTTGGCTTAATTGTAGAGGGAAAAATCTGAGTTCCTCTGGCATTGCTCCAGATGAGGGGAATGCAGGCTGGCCCCAGGTTGCTCAGGGTTGGGAGGTGTTGCAAAGCTGCAGGAGAAGCATTGGTGCTTCACTACTGACACTTTTTTTGCCTTTTGCATTTAGTTTGAAGAACCGTGTCTTGTTAACTCCTCCTACCTGATCTTGTGCAAAACTCCAGCCATTAACCTGCTGTTGCGGAGCGTCCATATCAAACTGGAATTTATTCTGGATAATCTGAGCTTTGATTTCAACTCATTGCATCCCATGCCCTTCTCTTATGAAGTCAACCCCATCCTAAAACCCTTGAATGCTGAAGATCCTGCCAAACCATATCGTCACAAGCCAGGAAGCGTCATCTCTGTGGAGGTAACACAAAAACTAGCTGGAAATAATGTTATTTGTACAAAGTTGTTTCTAACCTGAGTGTTTTAAATTGGTGTCATGCAGCATCCAAGGTTTTAAAGCATTTGACAGGCTTATAACCTGTCACAGCACATCTGCTTTGGCCTATGAGAAATGGTACAAAGAAGAGTGAAAAGAGTGCATCTAAAAAGCCTCTTGAGCCTGTAAATCCTTGTTAAGGGCTTCATAGGGCTTGTGGAAACTTCTGTGCTTTTTTATTTTTAATCCTAATAAACTATCTGTATATGAGATATTAGTACTAAACAAACCCCACATCCTATTCTCAGCTGCTGGCTTTTTCATAGCTTCTTAAGATTCCTCTAGAAATAACTTAGGAGTAAAAGAATCCTGGCAGTGGGGAAGAACTGTTACTAGGTGGAGGTAGGAAAATCCCGCTTTAAAGATGATACGGAAGGGCAGAGTGGCTAACGTTTTTTCTGTACATGCAAGAAAAAAAATCTCTGAGAGATTTCTTTTGTATGGGAACGTACTTTCTAGTCCAATAGTCATTAAGAAAGTTAATGGCTGTAGCTGGAGATGCACTTTCTCCACTTGCTTTTTTTTTTTCACACATGAGTAAAAACTGTGAGGATATACTAGTCTAGAAATGTCTAGGCTGCTGCCATTGGTATTGAATGCATCTTGGAGAAGTAGGGCAATTTGAGAAGACTGAAAGGGAATTAATGAGATGCAAGCTTTCAAAGAGCAAGGAAGTTGATCTACCAACCTGTCAGGACGCCCTGACAGAGCGCTGGGCAAAAGCATGAAAATGGTGCTGCAGGATTCAGCTTAGAAAGCATTAAAACATAAAAATGTAATTAACATCAATCAGCATGGTTTTATTAAAAAAAAAAAAGTCTTAATCCCCAAAAATTAAAGCAGATTTGTGCAGCAGATAAAAACAATAGCATAAATGTGTTACACCTTTGAAAGGCATTGATTGACTTACCTGAATGCTTAGGTTAACTGACATGAGTGCTTAGGTTAACTGACGTGAGACTACCTTTTTAAATACATACAGATTGCGTGTATGTGTATGCATATCCACACAGAGTGAAGAGTTGAGCTTAGTTGTGCTGTGGCTGAAGAGCCTTAAGATGACAGGCTATTTATAACTGTACTTATGCAGCATGGTACAGGTCCTAAAGCTATTATCTAAATCGTATGCAAGTGAATTTTTTTAGCTTACAAAATGAACTTCTGCGGCCAATTCAGATGCGAGCTTAGTCAGAGAAGAAAAAAAGCTGCTTTCATCCTGTCTCGTTGGTCTCCTCTATTTTCTCTGGAGCCATGAAAATGCAGAGTTGTTTTTTCCCCAATTTGATGTGCTGTTCCACATCTGTTCCAGGGGGAAAATCTAGATCTGGCTATTTCCAAGGATGAAGTTATGGCTATGATTGGGGAAGGAATCTGTGTGGTGAAGACACTAACAAGGAATCATCTCTACTGTGAGCCTCCCTCTGAGCAGCCAGCTCCACGGCACCGCACGAAGCGGGAGGGCACAGACTTGCTCCCAGAGTTCACGGTAGGGAATCAGCACTACCGCAAGAAATCCTGTCCCTTGTCGAAGTACAAGCAAGAAGTAGTGATGGAGGCAGGGAGCAGGATGGGAAGTGGAGGAAAGGCAGAAGCCCTGGTGGGGGACAAAGGAGGTACCAGGGGTGGCAAGGAGCTACTCCTGTTCTCGACTCTACTCTTAGGTGCCAAATGTTTCCTGAAAGCAAACGGTATAGCTGGATTCAGGAGTTGTGCGGCGGGACAGCTTTGCTAGAGAGCTGTATGCCACCTGTACCCATTCTGGAGAAGCCCTGTGGCTTTGCATTGCTGCACTGAGCTTATGTCATGGCACGTGCTTTCTTACAGGTACAGATGGGAAACCTGAACTTCCTCCTGGGCCGAGTGCAGTATGACACAGAAAGCCAGCTCACCTTCCCGCTGGAGGCACAGATTGGTTTGGGTGTTGGTGCATCCTTCGTGGCACTGATTGTTCTGATCATCGTCTTCATATACAGGTAAGAAACCCTGGCATTGTGTGAGGTCTTTAAGTTCCTCTACAACGTTATTCAGTGGATGTGGCCCAGTGTGTACATCTTGGGATTAAACAAGGTCCCAGTTTTCTTTATTTTGTGCCAAATTCTGAGCCCTGGGTGTTGTTGGATGTGTGAGGCATGTTGCACCTGCTGGTCACAGCCTGCACTGTGGTTCATTCAGAGCCCCCACCTAATGGGTGCTCCAAGAGACACATCTAGTTTACAGAACACTGTTTGGTGTCCTGTAAAGGAGATGTTCCGTAGAAATCACCTCAGCACCAATTGCCCTGGAGTCTTTGGCAGCAACATAACAGTTGGCAAGGACAGTCCCTGGGCTGGGGCCACTGGGAACAATTCTGCTTTTTATTGCAGGAGGAAGAGCAAACAGGCTCTCAGGGATTACAAGAAAGTTCAAATCCAGCTGGAAAATCTGGAAACAAGTGTTCGGGACAGATGCAAAAAGGAATTCACAGGTCAGTCACAGAGCTCCTAGGTTCTTGCAGCTTCAGGGAAGCTTGAAGAGCCACTCTCAGTCCTGCTTCTCTTTC